GGGCAGGGGACGGGGGCTGAGCAGGCACCCGGCCGGGTGGCGATCCACCCCGGGCCGCCTTGAGACGGCGTGTCACCGCCTGCCATCTTGGGGGCCGAAGCCGGCGGCCGCGGCCGCGGGCTCCTGCGGCACCCCCCCCCTAACACGGCACACGGCGCACGGCACACACACGTACGGGGCCGGCCCGCAGCAAGGGCAGGACGGCCAACAAAACACCCGGCTCCGAGCCGGTGGGGGGCCCCCGCAGCGCGTGGTTCGGGGCCTGGGCAAGAGGGAACCGGGGCCCGGACGGCTGGGGGGCGCCATGGGCACGGGTGCGTTGGGGGCTGGGAGCGGGGCACCCCGGCTGCCAGGCTCGCCCGGGCTGCCGGCGCTGCCGCCACCCGGCCGGGCGCGGCCGGGCACCGCGGCGCGGTCGACGCGCCGATTAAATGGCAAGTCAGAGCGAAAAGCACGGGGATATCCCCGGATCTGGGTCCCAGCAGCCGCACCAGGCCCCGGGGGTCAGCCCCGTTCCCCCCCCCCTTCGGACACACGGGGCAGGCAGTTATCGGAAAAATGGGCATAATAAAAAGAAGGCACAAAGAGGACCGGGGCGCCGATCGGGTCCGCCCACAAAATGGCACCCGGGGGCGCCCCGGAGCACACACACACACACACACACCCCGGACGACATACAAGCAAGATAGGGGGTGTATTTTTCGCGTGCCAGCGGCGCGGGACCCGGACAGCGCGCGTTGCCGCCGCCGCCGCCCTCCTCGCTCTACGATGAACGCGCAAGCAGGAGGGCGGGGCGAGGCGAGGCGAGGCGAGGGAAGCACGGACGACGCCCGGCAGCCGGAGGATGAACACACAGGGGGAGGGGAGGCAGGCGGAGCAAACACTCTGCGCCGCCCGGCTCTCCCCCTCTCCCCGCCGCCGCCGCCGCAGGCGCACCACAAAATTAGCTCATGTCCACCACCGAGCGGATGGACTCGCCGGCGTGCATGACATCGAAGCCGGTGTTGATCTCGGCCAGCGGGTACACGTGGGTGATGTACTCGTCGACCTTGAGCTTGCCGTCGAGGTACTTCTGCACCAGCTCGGTCATCTGGGTGCGGCCCTTGACACCGCCGAAGGCCGACCCGCGCCAGTTCCGGCCGGTGACCAGCTGGAACGGCCGGGTGGAGATCTCCTTGCCGGACTCGGCCACGCCGATGATGATGGACGTGCCCCAGCCACGGTGGCAGGCCTCGAGCGCCGCGCGCATGGTGTCCACATTGCCCACGCACTCGAAGGTGTAGTCCAGGCCGCCGTCGGTCATCTCCACCAGCACCTGCTGGATGGGCTTCTCATGCTCGCGGGGGTTGACGAAGTCGGTGGCGCCGAACTTCATGGCCCAGTCGCGCTTGGCGTTGTTGATGTCCACGGCCACGATGCGGCTGGCGCCGATCTCCTTGGCCGCCTGGATGACCGACAGCCCGACGCCGCCGATGCCGAAGACGGCCACCGTGCAGCCGGGCTCGATCTTGGCCGTGTAGAGGGCCGCCCCGTAGCCGGTGGTCACGCCGCAGCCCAGCAGGCAGACCTTCTGCAGGTCGGCCTCCTCCTGGATCTTGGCCACGCTGATCTCCGGCAGGACGGTGTACTGCGAGAAGGTCGAGGTCCCCATGAAGTGGTAGATGTCCTGGCCCTTGCAGCGGAAGCGCACGGTGCCGTCCGGCATGACACCCTGGCCCTGGGTGGCGCGGATGGCCGGGCACAGGTTGGACTTGGTGGACTTGCAGTACTTGCAGGTGCCGCACTCCGGCGTGTACAGGGGGATGACGTGGTCGCCGGGCTTGACGGAGGTGACGCTGTGCGTCGTATGCCGGGGCGGGGGGCGGGGGGCGGGGGAGGTCAGTCAGGCGGCCGTGTGCGGGGGGGGGGGGCGGGAGCTGGCCGGAAGCGCAGGAGGAGAAGCAAGAAAGGAGGCACACAAGCAGCCCCGACACAGGCGTGCCACATAATTCGGCGTACCCCTCGCCGACGGACTCAACAATACCGCCGCCCTCGTGGCCGAGAATGCAGGGGAAACGCCCCTCCGAGTCGAAGCCGCCCAGGGTGTAGGCGTCGGTGTGGCAGACACCGGTGTGGAGGATCTTGATGCGGACCTCGCCGGCCTTGGGGGGGAGGACCTCGATATCCTCGATGGCTGGAGGGGGGGGGGGGGGC